AGGAAGTCCTTTGAAAATTGTCTTGCTCTGTTAAACATAAATTAGGAAATATTTAAAAAAGAATAAACATTTCACAGTAGGGCTAATAAATTAATATATATTTATATATATGTATATATAATCATTTGTACTGTTATTATGCTTACAGCTGGTTGATCTGGTTCATGCATTAAAATTCCTATGGGAAAAATGAATGTGAAAAGTACTTCCAGAGCCAGCACTACTGATCGAGTGGACTCTGGACTCTGAAAAGTGAACTTTACTATAAGAATATAGATGAATATGTGATGTCATTATGCTCGCTGTTGGATATTTTACATAAAAATAAGGTCAACATTCTTCAAAAGATGATTCAAATAATGCTGAGGGCATCGCCATGGGAACCGAATGGCTAGTTCATAATTCAAAGAAAGATATGAGCTGTCCTTGTAACTGTTCACAAGCGCTTCACTCGTACAGTAGATGTATTGTAGTAGCCATGGATTTCAAGGCTGCCAGCGGCTCCATCACAACAGAGCATTTCTCACCTCTTCGCAGCAACGTCCTGCTCCTTTCTCAACACTGCCAAACATGGATGAGCTTCAAAAACGCCTCAAGTGACACTACCAAACATAGCCAGAATTTTCACTCCCGATTACTGCAAAAATGTGTGAGAATTGAACAAATAGTGTTGCGACATTGCGGTTATTGACCATAATAAGAAAGGAGAATGTTTTCAAAAAGCACTATTTTACCTGCAAATATTGTATTTGGGGTGGCAAAACATTTGCAATACACTCATGGTAGCTGGAACGCATCTTATCTTTGATTCAAAAATGAAGGAAATGGAATTAATTTGCAGAAAATGGTGGGGAAAGTAAACCATTATCAAAGGCAAATGCAATTTTACTTTGCTTCATTGCATTTCTCTTTGATTATGGTTTAATTTCCTCACCATTTTCAGCTGATTCATTGCATTTCCTTAATATTTAAAAAAATAAATAAAAAAATAAAAATAAAATATATAAATATATATATTAAAAGCACTATCAAATTCAAGGCTTATAATACACCTTTTCTACCAGATGACGAACTCGCCATCTTTGGCTACTCACAAAAAACATCTTCTCTTTCTCAAACAATGCAAGAGTCCTTAATGGAAGGCATGGTGGTGGCTAAAAGCTATTGCCTAATTACTAGAAATTACCTTTACTCCCCCCATTCCAGAACTGGATTTCTGATATATCTGTTATTCAGATGGAGAGACTCAAGATTTTTAAGACTAGCTCCATAAAAACATTTTTGGCTACATTTTGCTACTTGTCAAGGGCAATCCACTGACCTCTCTGAGGTTTAAGTTACAGTTGAAGTCAGAATTGTTAGCCCCACTTTAATTAATATTATTATTTTTTTTAAATATTTCCCAAATGATGTTTAACAGAGCAAGAAAATTTTCACAGTATGTCTAATAATATTTTTTTCTTCTAGAGAAAGTCTAGTCAAATATTATTTACTGTCATCATGGCTAATGGTTCATTCAATGGCTAATGATTTAGGGGGCTAATAATTCTGACTTCAACTGTATGTGATATTTTGCCTTATTTTTGATCATTATTTAGTGTATAGTTATGTTTTACTGATAATTTCTTGTTTGGTAAATTGTATCAGTGCGTGATTTCTATGGCATGTTATGTACAGTATATGTATCAACATTATTTATATTATATTTACGGTGTTATTTTCTGTATGACCTAAGATGAGCAAAATAAAATAAAATAAATTATGTATTTGTGCAAATATTCTTAAATGTTACAGTCTGGAAAATAAAATAAAATACAAAAAAATAAAATAGAACAAAATACAATAAAAAATAATAAATAAATAAATCAATAAATAAATTAATAAAATATGCATTTGTGGATATTAAGTGAACAAGGAAAAATCGAATTCCTAATGTTACAGTCTAAAAAACAATAAATAAATAAATAAATATATATATATATATATATATATATATATATATATATATATATATATATATATGTATATGTATATATATATATATATATATATATATATATATATATATATATATATATATATATATATATATATATATATATATATATATATGTGTGTGTGTGTGTGTGTGTGTGTATATATATATATATATATATATATATATATATATATATATATATATATATATATATATATATATACATATATACATACAATATGCATTTGTGCATATTAGGTGAACATGGAAAAATCTAATTCTTAATGTTACGGTTTGCAAAATAAAATAAAAAATAAAATAAATAAATAAATAAATAAAGTGATAAGTGAACAAGGAAGAGTCCAATTCCTCATATCATGGTCTGGAAAATAAAATAAAATAGATAAATAAACAAATAAATAAAATATGCATTTGTGCACATTAAGTGAACAAGGAAGGATTAAAGCCATCGTTTTCTCTGTAGACTCACATTTTACTCTTGATATTTAACTACAACATATGTGAATCAGCGGGTGGAGCTAAACAGGCTAAACAGATGTTAATCTTCATCAGTGGAGGCGGAGTTTAGAAACCCCATTATATAATCATAAGTAGCACATTTACAGTCTGTTTAGCTGAATTGGCTTCAAAATAAGCTACAAAACAACTGAAAGAGTACTGAAACAAACAGGATATTTATATACCACAATGACCTCTTATATGTGAAAATGTCAATAAATCTTACAATCTAAGAGATGAGTCAGCTGAACTCTACAGTCACATGGGCCAATCCTCTCAGCCAATGACAGCTGTCGCTCACTGCACCTCCATTCTGCACACCACATGCTCCATTTGTTTTCACAGAGCTGCCAATAGTCTTACTGTAAATGGTCAAAGCCAACAATCTGGACGGAGATTTTAGACTGTAGATTAACAACAGGATTCAGGACGATTATGTTATGCATAATTATGTCACACCAATGTTTGGATTTGCATGAAGAAAACATTTCTATGACGCGTACAACACACACACACGCCGCTAAAAAACACACAGTAGGCTGCATTGATGTGGAAGGCATTCATTTGGCCCAAAATAACAACTCTCAACAGAATGTTGCCCCTGGCCCCTTCTGCCAATTTGCACAGCGAACGTTGAGTGCACACACCAACAGCCAATGACTGTATTCGCAACTAGAAATATCAGCTAAATTTATCTCACGTTTGGATGGGAGTTGAACGTCATGTTTGCCGATATTAGCGTTTCTGCGTCCAATTTGGATTCTACTGCGTTTGTTTTTTTCTGATGGATGAACGTGAGCATTTGATGTGAGAGGTGGACGTGTGTGCTTTGCTTTGTGGCCTAGTTGCAAATGAACACTAACTGAATTAACAGGCTGCTATCGCCGCGAGGCTCCTCACATATTCTGCGGGTTACCAGAGCACTGGAGAAGAATGGAAAAGAGTGAAGGAAGAGGAAGTAGAATTGTGTTTTTTTCGCCATCGGTTTGTCACGTGAAGGAACAAACGGTTGTGTGATCTAAAATGCAGGTTGAGTTTGTCATTCTGAAGGTTCGTATTATTTTTGTTCTTAAAAAGATGTTTAGTAGAATGTTCATGCTGCTCAATTTCGTGCAATGTCTGGGTTTAAAAAAATGATGACGTAGTCTATTTGCTACACAAAATATACTGCTGAAGCTATAAGAGTTTCAGAAAAGAGCATTATTTTGAATTAATAACTGATTATTTGTGTATAATTTGTTTATTTATGCCGAGTTCTTTAAATTAATATTTAAAAAAAAAAAAAACTTGTAAAAGCTAATTGATTTTTATTATATTATTATATTGACAAAAATTATGTCAAAAATTAAAAAAACATTCGAAATGTTGTCTTTGCAATTAGCTTTACTAAAGTTAATAAATAAAATAAATTAACATTATGCAAAAATACCAAACAAAAAAAATAATATGCAAAGGCAGAAAAATGTGATAAAAATTTTGTAGTTCCGTTCTTTTTTTAATATTAATATAATGACAAATAAAACAGACAAACAGACAAAAAACTGTGGCCTTTTACCTTGGCTCTAAGGGTCAAACAACAAAAAATAAGTTCAAGAATCTTGGTGTGATTTTGAGATTAGATCTGAATTTCAATAGTCATGTCAAAGCAGTAAGTATTAGCATACTATCATCTCAAAAACATTGCGAGAATTAGATGCTTTGTTTCCAGTGAAGAAACTTTTTCATGCTTTTATCACCAGCAGGGCGGATTACTGTAATAGACTCCTCACTGGCCTTCCCAAAAAGACAATCAGACAGTTACAGCTCATCCAGAACGCTGCTGCCAGGATTCTGACCAGAACCAGAAAATCAGAGCACATCACACCTGTCCTCAGGTCTTTACACTGGCTACCATTCAGAATAGATTGGTATTATTACTTGTCTATAAATCACTAAATGGCCCAGGACTTCAATTCATTACAAATATGTTCACTGAATACAAACCCAACAGATCACTCAGATCTTTAGAATCAAGTAAATAAGAAATTCCAAGAGTTCAGTTAAAGCAGTGTGAATTCACCTTTAGCTACTGTGCCCCCCTCTGCTGGAATCAGCTTCCAGAAACGATCAGATGTGCTCCAACACTAGGCACATTCAAATCAAGACTGTAAACACATCTGTTTAGCTATGCCTTTACTGAATGAGCACTGTGCTCACCATGTCTATGTGCTTTGCCTTTTCAACTGAAGGTAATAAGAACACTAAAGTTTTGATAACAATTAAATCTATTTAAAAATATTTTTAAAAGGAAATAGTACTTTTTAAAAGAAACAGGGAGGATTATACTATAATAGTGGTATATTAAAAGTAAATAAGTGGTATAAATACAATATAAATAGTGATCGATGAAAATTGTCAGTATGGGGTACACTGTCTCTTTAAGTGGTCATGTCAGTGAATGAGAACGCATGTGTGTTTGTGTGTGTGTGAATGTGCGTTTGTGTGTATGTGTGTACACACTCACAGGGCCTGTCCTCGTTGGGTTTGCTCGGGATCTCTTCCACACATTCCGCAGGGAACCAGCCTACATTCCCTCGGGCACTGCCTTCCCAGAATCCTCCTTCTCCAATACTGAGAACTACAGTACACACAGGGAGAGAGTCAGCAGAAACATATCAAATACTATTTGCACTATTTACAGACGCCATGTGCTGTTCTACATATGACAGTGGAGATCAAAATGAAAGAACCATGTATAAACACTTGATTATATCGGAAATAATGTAATAGTCATCATTTAGAATTTTAGTTGTAGCTATAACATTCTAGTAAACAGTAATTTACAAAATAACTAAAGCATTTCAATGAAAACCATTTTATTTTTGTGGAAAACACAGTGATCAAAATGATGCTAAATAGGAACTACAATTTCTGATGAGCCCCTTCCTTGAAAGACTGCTCTGCTGTGATTTTGATATGCTTTTCTTTAGTCTCTTTCCCAGGTCACTGAAATATACTGAGCCTTTAAGCCATAATTCTGTCGCCAAGGATGTTCCAGAGATTTTCAATCAGGTTTACATCAGGGCTCTGAACTGGCCTCTTCGATATTTTCAGTTTCAAGAAATTGCTTGACCTTTTTTGCTGTGAGATGAGACTCATTGTTCTACATAAAAATCCTGGATGATTGAGCGCTGAACGCACAGAAGGAACCACACGTGGCTTAGGAAGCTTCTGATAAATATTTGCATGCACTCTGCCAAGAAATTTTACAAGAGGCCCAACTCCTGCTGCAGAAAACATCCACCTTTACTGACTTCTGCACACATTTTGGGTTCAGTCCTTCCACAATTTAATGACAAATATAATGTTTCTCTTCTCATTCGGCTAGTTAGGACATGTTCCTGGATCAACATCTATGTTAAAATAACATCAACATTCCTATCAGCAATAAATATTTGCAGGATAGAATGTTCTTATCCTGTCTAGCTATGTTCGTACACAAATGGTTGAGTATAATTATTATCACTAAATGGCCAAGGACCTCAATACATTACAGATATGCTCACTGAATACAAACCCAACAGATCACTCAGATCTTTAGGATCATATAAACTAGAGATTGAAAGAGTTCAGTCAAAGCAGGGTGAATCAGCTTTCAGCCACTATGCTCCTCACTGCTGGAATCAGCTTCCAGAAATGATCAGATGTGCTCCAACATTAGGCACATTCAAATCGAGACTGAAAACACATCTGTTTAGCTGTGCCTTTACTGTATGAGCACTGTGCTACGTCCGACAGATTGCACTATTATGTTTTTCGTTTTCTTTTTCATTCTTTTATAACCTATTTTAACTCATTTCAATTTGTTTTTATCTGTTTTTAATCATTTTTATTGTCTGCAATTTATGTTCCTAAACTTGTCTGGTTTATTCTTGTTTATGTAAAGCACTTTGAATTGCCACTGTGTATGAAATGTGCTATATAAATAAACTTGCCTTGCCTATTATCAAATACCAGTTATCTTTTAGAAAAAAATGCCTCATGTTTGTTGTTATGTTGGATGATTTGGTTCATGTCATTCATTTTTCCAAGCGTGCTTCCGAACGTCTGATTAACATATTGAGCTTCGATGCGCCCCGATTTTCATGTTGTATTGTGGGACTTTTTAGTAAGCTAATGTTTCAGGGATTTTTGCGATTGACTTAAAATGGCTGACGCGCTAATCAGCATCCTGACCACTGAACAAGGGAGCTGATAAAGACACACATAGTCAGACATAACAGTGCAAACGCAAGAAAATCTTGTTTCATTTTATTTTATTTATTTGTTTTACTGCTACACGATACAGAAAAAAATATAGGATTTGGAATATTATTGCTATATTATTGTGATAACAATATCTTACGATAAATTCAATAAATTAAACGATATATCTTATGATAAATTACATTTCCCTACAAAAATGCTTTTTTAGTAGCTATGTTTTTAAGTAATTTATTTCATTCATTTATTCATTTTCTTTTTGGTTTAGTCCCTTTATTAATCAGGGGTCGCCACAGCAGAATGAACCGCCAACTTATGCTTCATATGTTTTATGCACCAGATAAACTTCCAGCTGCAACCCATATTCTCAGATCAAATTAATTCTAATAAAGACTAAAAAGCAGTGTGAAGGTGGAAACTTTTAGGGCCCTATCATACACCCAGTGCAATGTGGCACAAGGTGCCACACAATTGTTGTTTGCTAGTTTTGATGTTTGTAGCACACTGTTTAAATAGCAAATGCATGTGTGCTCATATGTGCGCCCATAGGCATTCTGATCTAAAAAAGGAGGCTTGTTGAGGCGCATTGGTGGTGCGTTGCTATTTTGAGGAACTATAATAGACTGTTCAATAGACCAGATCAAAGCTGGTCTATGGTCCAGCGCAGAGCGTGTTAGTTGTACGCCTCACTTACACATTGCTTAATACACACAGGATGTACAGCAATTTGCAGATATCTTTACAAATGAAAAAGAATTAAAATGTTACAAAAATTATTATTTTCTAGCCTACATAAATATAAAAACCACCGCCTCCATTCCTTCTTCATCTCGGCTGGCTTTTTTAGCTTATTCATGACAATTTGCTTTTGTATAATGTTATATTATTATTAGTAGTACTTATTATATGTATGTTTATATTTGCATTATTAAAAACAAGCTTAGATTTGCCCACCTGTCAGATTTTGTACCATATGTGGCACAGCATGTGTATTTGGATAAAAATCCAAATTAGAACTGAATTCAGAAATAGTTTTAAAACAAATCTTTGCGCTTAATAAACGAAATTATGTAGGCTAATGGATGTCTGTGCATACAACATGTTGCTATCCATGAGAGTGAAAGTGAAAGGCTCATTTCTTATTCTCGCCTGTAGTGTTCAGTTTTTCCACTTACAAAGTCAGCCGTGTAAATAGCAAATGCGCTATGACACAACGCCACTCACTCTTAAAGAGAATGGGAGATGAGACTCTGATTGGTTTATTCTCAAAGCACACCTATTACTCATTAAGAGAATAAGCACAACCCTGTTAGACCATGCGCCAAGGCGCAAATCAGATTTTTCCATCCTTAAAATAGCAAAAGTGGATTCAGACACGCCCTTTATGCTTTTGCGCCATGCGCTTTGGACTTTGCTCATAGATCATCAAAAAAAGAGTGCACAGTCTTTAAACACTATAAATGACTGAATTCATTCTCAAAACTTGTCAGTTTCCTCTCTGGTCTTGACTCCTGCTGTCAGTATTTACCTTCAGCTCTGGGTTCACTTTTGGGCCACTCCAGCCAATAGCAGAACAGTAACTACTGAGGAGGTGGGAATAAAGATTGTGAGGCCCCATCTGATTGAATTTAGATGACCCCCAATGCATATACTATCATCCTGCTAACTATAATTTTGCGATAAATTGTCCAGTTCTAATTTGTTTCATTCCATTTTAGACCGTCCGTTAACCATTAAGTGATTAAATTATAACGTTAAATTATTATCAAATGGCAGCATTAACAACAGCATTTGGCATCATTCTGATAGGTCTTTTTCATTTTGACCACTTTTCTTCTGATTTACATATTCTAATGTAGGATATCAGACCTACTCTATGGTGATTTTGTGTAACTTTTAATTACTTTTTGTGTAACTGAATGCTCTATGGTGATGTTGGTGAAGAGTAGCTCATTGCGGTCAGCCATCGCCTGTTGCCGGAGGGCAGAATCTGTGAATTCTTGCTCTCCATATGGCAGAGAAACTGCACTGCCTGCTACAAACCAGCTTTTCTCTTCATTTGATGCACACAAACCCGCTCTCCATATTTACAGTCAGCAAACATATGCTTTCATCTGGGAGTGAAATGAATGTGTGATTTTCTTTTTTGTTGTATAAGACAGAGGTTTACCTTTGACCCTGTCGTTCTTGTAAAGAACGATTTCTCCCTCGGCCTGCGGTTGGTATGATTTGACCACCACGTAGTGTCTTCCTGGCACAGCGCTGTACAGCTTCCGTTTGGACCCGGGGGTCTCTATGCCGGAAAAGGCATCTCTGTTGGCACGCGGACTGGTGGGAACAACAAGAAAGATGGTCTGGGTAATATAGTGATCATTATTATTATTATATTATATCATATATATATATATATATATATATATATATATATATATATATATATATATATATATATATATATATATACATACATACAAATGTTTTGCATCATTTGCACCAAAACATAAACATTTTAATATCGGTTCAATGCAATTTTACTTGATTAGCTACTCTGAAATAAATGATTCATTGGATTTACTACATTTTTTTAAGTTAACTGGTTGCAAACAACATATTCAGGCTGGATTCAAACAAACAAATTAAGTTGAACATTACTCAATTTAATTAGCTTAAATTCAGCCCATATGAATTATTTACAGTATCAATTGTTTTGTTTTTTTATTTTTTTACTGTGTTTTTATTTTTATTTTTTAAACATAGTATACAAATAACATTTACTTAGAATGTTTACAATCACCAAAAAAGGAAACAATTAGAAAGAAAATAATAATAGATATAAATTATAATAATAGATAAATAATAATGACAGCTTAAAGAAAAATAAATAAATAAAATAAATAAATACATTTTTTAAAATAAAATAAAAAATAAAAAAGAAGGGGGGGGGGGGGGTTAAACAAATAAATAAATAAATACATTCCAATATAAAGGCAATAACTATGACAAAGACAAAGCCCCTGACAGCCTTTCAAAGATTAAGTAAATATGTTTCGATTGATGCCCAGGTCTGTTGAAAAAAGTCTGATTTCAGCTGCAAATCTGCAGTCATTTTCTCAAATATAAATATCTGTTTCAACCTCTGTGTACATTCTGTTAAAGTAGGTTGGCGAGTCTTCGTCCAGTTCACTGAAATTATTTTCCTAGCTGTTATTAATAATATATGAAGTGCAAATAGGTAAGACTTACTGAACTAACCAGGGGGGAAGCCATCAACGAGACAAATTACAGGGTGCATTGGTATGTCATATCCTAAAACCTTTATAATCTCCCTGTTAACCTCCTGCCAATACACCTGAATTTTGGGACATTCCCAAAACATGTGGACACAGTACCCCACTTCTCCACAATCTCTCCAGAATTGTGATAATTGTATAAAATTATTGAATTTGGCGGCCACTAATGGAACTCTGGAAAACCTCATCTTCATCTTCCAATCCAAGTCCTTCCATATTTGTCTGCTAGTATCAATAGTTTTTTTAGTGTATAGTTATATACAACTGTTTAATATAAAAATTTGTTATTAACTGATGATTAATTTGTTATTTCGGGTGGTTCGAAAGATAAATTGTGACGGAGGAAATGAGCTGGCAAGTTTGTTATTTACTGGCAAGTTTGTTATGGGCTACAGTTATTAATTTGAAACAAAGTTTAACAGATTCCTAACAGTTTGTAGTTTAAATGATGAATGACAGTAAATTTGCATTCAAAAAATAGGTATTTTTTTATATTTCTTTGTTTAAAGGTGTTTATTTAAATGTTTAATATCATTACATTATTTATCAAACTGTAATAGCTTAATGCACATTTGTAAATAAACCATTTTTGTAAACATAAAATAGTATAGTAAGCACTAAGATAAAAATGTAAGAAATATTTTAAAAAACTGTGGTAATGATCACCATCCGACAAACTAATCCATATATATATATATATATTTATTCATTCATTTCATTCATTAATTTTCCTGTCAGCTACATTCGCCACAGCGGAATGAACCGCCTATATATATATATATATAATATATATATATAATATATATATATATTTATTTATTTATTTTTTTTTTTTTCTTCCACAAATTGTATATTATTATAAAATACAGTTTTTACAATTTTGAGTAGATTGAACATAAAACATAGGGGTTTTACACACTTTTGTAGAGTTTGCACACTTTTAATTTAGCCAGCCAGCCTGACAGCTTCCAGTGAACTGCCTTTCCACTACAAAAGTGCCACGTTTAAGATGTTTTCTTTAAAAATAAGTGATCTTCACTGCCTAATAGATATTCGATATGAAGTGGGTCTCAGACACAAGAAGCACTGCATTAAATTCCATTTTCCCTGACATTCCTTTAAAATATGAACATTCATTTTGAATGAAGTGTCTGCGCTGACCTGCTGGTACTGACAGCGCTAGCAGTTACATGGCATGGTCTATTATCTTGTTTCTTGCTTGAACAACTAAATGAATGCTTAAGTTTATTTAACTGCTTGTATTTTAATTACATTTTGATGTCGATGTTGTAAAAGGAGTCTTATAAAAGTAAAAATAGTTACAGAAACCATAAGTTTATCATTGGCTGAGCTGTGCATATACCTCTAGAATCGTGTTGTTTTAGCTTATAAATAGTTAAAAAAAGCAGCAAAATGATTTTTGAGTGTATGTAAAATGAAATTAAAATGATATAAAAGATGTGTAAGGATTAGTTAAAGTGTTTTCAGTGAGCATTGAGATCTTCTAGTCCGCTGAGCAGTTATTAAAGGTGTGAGGGCTCCCTCTGCTGGACGCACAGCATACTCATCCACTACAGCTCAGAATAGAGCAGAGATGAAGACAGCCAGGCCTGAACTCCTCCAGCTTCATATCTGGTCTCAAGAGATTCTCACTAGGGCTTCAGACGGCTCTCAGCACCCCCCACCCCAAAATAAAAAAAATCCAGAAAAAGTGCTGACATTGAAGACTCAACAAAAGAACAGGCCTGACGATGCTGTTAATGAAGGTGTTAATGAGGGCGCGATGGGCCTAAAAATAGCACCCAAACTCTCACTGCAAAAGAACATCCAGTTTTCGATGATGACATGCACAATCTCTGAGGCACATCTCCTTATTTTGCCAACTTTTTTCCTTTAATGCCGAACTGACTTCACAGACAGGGAGCTATAGGGGGATGGTCAATGAAGGAAAATATAATATATATAATATTTATTAAAATTTTAACAGTGGTAACAAATAATTCTATAGTGATAATATGACATCAATTTAATACAAAGTATAATTATATAATTTATAAATAATAAGTATCATAATTAATATCTGAAATGGTATAAATATGCAGTATAATAATTTAGTAAAACAACATTTATTCCGTTTTAACACTGGGTAGTTGATTGTTTTGATAATATGATCACAATTATATTAATTATATTTAATATAAATGACTACATATTTTCTAAATATTATTATTATCTTATTGTAATATACAATCTATCTATTAATCAATTAATCTATCTATATATCTATCTAAATATTATATTATATATTTATATTAATATCTATACTGAAAAAATATTATCTATTATTAATTTTTATAGTGTATTTATTAAAATTTATTTAATATTAATATATTTATTGATATTTTTTAAATAATATTATATTATATTTAATACCTTTTTATATATTTATCTTACATAAAACTCTTCTTTTAAACAGAAATTTGGGGGGGAAATAAACAGGGGGAAAAATAATTTATGGGAGAAAATAATTCTGACTTCAGCTGTATATATATATATATATATATATAAGAAAATGAATGAATAAATGAATTATATATATATATATATATATATATATATATATATATATATATATATATATATATATATATATATATATATATATATATATATATTATTCATTTATTTTCTTTTCAGTTTAGTCCTTTTACTAATCTGGGGTTGACACAGCGGAATGAACCGCCAACTTATCCAGCATGTTTTACACAGTGGATGCCTGTCTATCTATCTATCTATCTATCTATCAATCTATCTATCTATCTATCTATCTATCTATCTATCTATCTATCTATCTATCTATCTATCTATCTATCTATCTATCTATCTATCTGTCTGTCTGTCTGTCTGTCTGTCTGTCTGTCTGTCTGTCTGTCTGTCTGTCTGTCTGTCTGTCTGTCTGTCTGTCTGTCTGTCTGTCTGTCTGTCTGTCTGTCTGTCTGTCTGTCTGTCTGTCTGTCTGTCTGTCTGTCTGTCTGTCTGTCTATCTATCTATCTATCTATCATTATATTGCCAATTGGAATAAAACTGTCCATAAAGATAACCTTAAATCTTTGCACCATACCCGGTACACAACTATCCATAATTTAGTTACACAAAATCAAACAGCATCCCAAAGCAGTGTCCCGTTCACACATGACCTGCCCTCTCTTCCCTCATAACCTCTCGAGGTCCCGGTGCACCTGCTGCCTCCAGCCTATAGGAGCAGATGAAATTGGGACAAAGCACCTACACATGCCCTCTACGTGCCTCCTGCTTTTTTTAAGCCTCCACTGAGAGCCAGTCAATGTCAGCGCCCAAAGTCAACACACCCAGATTAGCTTTCTTACGTAATAATGCTTGACGAGATCATACTGATGTGATGATGAGCTTTTAGGGAGAAAGAATGGTGTTTATGCGCTAAACAGTCCTAAACAGATGCACCTGGTAAATGGGTTTTAAATCGAAATGGGGAAAATTATGTGATGATGAATGGAGACCAAAAAGAGGTAAAAACCGGCAACACCTGGGAGAAAATAACCAGATAAGAAATGATGCAAACGGAAAAAAAACATCACATTTTAGGAATAAATAACTAGACGGCACCACAAAAAAAAAAAAAAAAATGAAATGAGTTTCAGCGGCAAACTAGCCAATCAGAAATAAGGGGAGGAGTTTATGTTTTTTTTTTAAATCTAAAAGCATTCCGGCTGATTATTTGCATGATAACTGCAGGCTCTGAAAACACGAAGTTTGAACATTAAAAACAAAACTGTAAAAAGCTATTTGTTGACTTTAATTAACAAAAAATTTAAACCATGTGCATAATTCTAAAAATTAAGTTAGGTCAACAACAAGTCGCAATAGGTTTACTCACTTTTTAAGTCACAGCGTCACTTGCTTTTGTTTACTAACAGGATGTTTTTCTCAGGCAAATGTTGCCAGCAATTTACCGCAATCGCCCCTTTACAAAAACTGTGTTTTACAGTATTAAAGCCCTA